CCAAAACTGTCGAGGAGCAGCAACAGGTCTTTTACAATCCTATTCAGCAGTTCAACCGAGACTTAACCGTGCTCGCCATCAAAGCCTACGGACAAGATCTATTATCCAAGACACGCTCTGCCAATGCGAAGCACATAGCCAAGAGGAAACGCGATAAATCCGATGCTGATGGTCCGATCCTCAAAAGGCAGCAAGAACAGTCTCTCAACACGACCGAAGCGAATGCCGCCGATGTAGCCAATGCAGCCGATGCAGCCGATGCAGCCGACTCTGCTACTCAGACCGTGAATGCGAACAACCAAGAAGAGGACATATCAATGGCTGATGCTGAGGATATTGCCGCTAAGTCGCATCAGGACAGGGAAGCCCCCAGCACTGTCACGGGCCAACCGCCGCTCGAGACCGCCAAGGCGTCTGAGTCCAAGCTGGAAGATACCGTGCAGCACAACGCCCCCCATGGCCCCAGCTTTACCATTCTCGACGCCCTCTCCGCAACTGGACTTAGGGCTTTGCGATATGCTCAGGAGCTCCCTTTCGTTACCGCCGTTACCGCCAATGACCTCACCCCTTCTGCTGTCGAGGCTATTCGCCGCAATGCCCAGCATAATGGCGTCGAGTCGAAGGTCATTGCCACTTTGGGCGATGCGCGTGCTCATATGTACACCTTGCTAGCCGATGAGGTCACTCGCGACCATGATAGGGCAAAATACGCCAAGAAGAATAAATATAAAGGAAGGAGATACAATGTGATTGATTTAGATCCCTATGGAACTGCCGCTCCGTTTCTCGACGCCGCAGTGAACGCGGTCCGCGACGACGGTGGCCTTCTATGCGTTACCTGCACGGACTCGGGCGTCTGGGCGTCGAGTGGCTATCCGGAGAAGGCATACTCTCTCTATGGGGGCGTGCCTATCAAAGGGTTCTATTCCCACGAAGTCGGGCTGCGGCTGATTTTACACGCTATTGCTACCTCCGCCGCGAGGTATGGCCTGGCAATCGAACCGCTTCTCAGTCTATCGATAGACTATTATGTCCGGATCTTCGTTAAGATCAGGCGATCTCCAGCTCAAGTCAAGTTCCTTGCGGGCAAGACGATGGTGGTGTATAACTGCGACAACGGATGCGGCGCTTGGGAAACCCAACTGTTAGCTCGCAACAGGAAGGCCGCTAATAAGTCTGGTACAGGTTCGTTCTATAAACATGGTCCCGCATTGGCCCCGACAACGGGTCTGAACTGCCCCCATTGCGACACGAGAATGCATCTTGCTGGTCCTATGTATGCCGGGCCATTGCATTCTCCGGACTTCATCAAGAAGATCCTGGATGACTTGCCTAAAGCTTCGGACGATATTTATGGCACAAAGCCACGGATAGAAGGCATGTTAAATACCGCACTCGAAGAAACACTCCCGCCCCCAGAGGATGACCTACCAACGGACAAGGAGGATGAATTTGCGGCGTTGGAGCCATACCCATTCTACTTCCATCCCACCACTCTTGCGGGTGCTCTGCACTGTATCTGTCCGGATGAGGATAGTTTTAGAGGTGCTCTCCGTCATTTAGGCTATGAGGTCACGCGAAGTCACTGCAAGGCAGGGAGCATGAGGACAAATGCACCATGGTCCATAGTGTGGCATATCATGAGAGAGTGGACGCGGCAGAAAAGGCCAGTGAAAACCAAAAATATTGGAGAGAATACCCCGGCATACAATTTGCTGAGGCTGGGCGGTACCGAGAAGAAAGACGATGAGATCGATAACCTGGAGGTTGTCTTTGACCAACGTCTGGGCCGCGATAGGTCGAAGCCAGGACTCGTCCGGTATCAAAGTAATCCGAAGGAAAATTGGGGCCCTCAGTCTCGAGCTAAAGGACATTAGAATTATCTAAGCTACCTACCGATGGCCATGAGCGCCAATGCTATGTAAACAAACTTGTACGAATAAATTGCACAACAATAGGGAGGAGTTACGAAGTGACGCAGTCACAATCGATACCCTTCGATTTTAGCTTGTCGAAGTCTAGATTCTGCAATGGTCTCTGAAGTATCCGCATGAATTTGTATCTCATCGATGTCAAGGTGAAGTGCTCCTGCACAGTTGGATGGTGCGGATAATAGAAGCTAAGGCCACAGATCTGAGGTTGGAGAAGACTTCACACACCCCTCGAGCAGCCTCAGCACTATTGATTAAATATACGAACTACCAAGACAGAAACAACTGGGAGATAATTTTTAAAGATACCATAATAACCAATAAATTTGCTTTATATACGTTTTGATTTTCAAGTTGTTTATTAAATCGCGTGTTAACATAATTATAACTTAGGTACTTAAACCACGCAGATGAAGTTGTCTTTTGAAGGTAATGGGACTTCGGTAGCTAAGCCACGACCTATCTAACCTAAGTAGGCACCTAGGTAGGTATCGGGCCACAGAGGTAATAAAGCCACAATCCGGCGAGTCGAATCCCATTGATTTCATTGGTACATAAGCAGGTACAGTGCACCTCGACAGCCTGATAAATGTAACAGGTTAGATAAGGGACGGGAACTCGCAAACATCCCGCCTTTCATCCAGAGCATGGCTGCCTACATTGTATGTACCCAATTTATAGGTTAGAGGCCCTACATACGAGACTGAAGCCTGGTGTACCTGAAAGACAAGACAACTTGGTTTCTCCGTCCGGCTCATAGCTCCATGACTATAAATTATACGAATCCCGTCATTCACGCTCGTCAGGTTCATGCTCGTCACCAATGTGTCCGCCTCATCTGGTTCGCCTCCTCAGGTCCCGATAATGGCTTACCTACTTAACGTGCCTCTCGAGGTGCTTCTCCAGATCACCTCGTACCTCACCACTCCGCAGTATGGCCACCTCCGAAGGACCTGTAAACAGCTTGAGGCGCTGTTGTTTGGGGCCTTTGCCCGGGAATTCTTCTCTAAGAGACAGTTCGCCCTGGTTGAGTTCAGTCTCCAGGCTCTTCTCGACATCGCCCAGTCGCGACTCGGTCCAAGCCTCACCCACCTCATCATCCACCTGGAGCGTCCTTATACCAGTCGTATTGCCACGCGGTTTACGAGCATGACTCCCAGGCCAATTCCCGCCGGCAAGATAGCGGTTCAGACCAATGAGTTTCAAGCCGAGTGTATCAGCCATCAAGAATTCATGGCCACTGGCCAAGACGTTGAGATGCTGTCGGACGCCATGAAGCTCCTGCCAAACCTCGAGACGATTGGCATGCGGGATTTCCACTCGAACCATCGTAGCCGCGACAATACTGTTTGGAATAGCTATGGCTTTCCCACATTCCTAGAGAGGACGGGTCGTCCTTTAGAGATCCCAGTTGTGAGTCGTGGTCCCGAGTATACTGGTCACGTTTTCTTGACGATTCTGCGAGCCATCGGAAATGCTGCCGGTATGTACGCTCCCATGTAATTCTACTCTCTGACATGATCCATCTGTGATGTAAGGGTGGCTAGGTTACTATGGGAACAATTGCGGGAAAATACTGATACCTCGTCACCCAGTATCCGGCCGCAGCACCTCTGATATCACTCGGCTTGAGGTCCTTCTACACAACTGTCAAATTTCAGACCTGTCTTTCAGGATACCTAGTCGCTTTGACGCCGCCATTTCTCTGGCACTTAGTAAGCTCACAACGATGTTTCTAGACAATCTTGGCGGAGAGGAGCCGTACATACTTGTCGGCGACGTCGGTGGCAGGACCGACCCAATCACCGGGTCGGGGTACTTCCTCTCGAGGTTCTTAGCGAAAGCTCCAAACCTTGAGCGCCTACGGCTCAATTTTCAGGCTTATGACCATGGTTCCACCCGGAGGTTTCTATCATGGTTAGCAGACGTCCGTGAGCCCCCCACGGACGGAACGGCAAGTCCTTTGGGCTCGCTAGCAGCAGCGAATGTGAGGTTCCCGTCGGGAAATAGCCATTGAATATAAGGACTGACAGACCCTTCAAGGCCTCGGGATCTTTACCCGCGCATTTCCCGCCTACACCCAAATTTCCCAACCTGCGATATCTAGATATTGGGATGGCAACCGTGACGGAACGCATACTGCTCGACTTGTACCGAAACTATAAATCAACTCTACAGGGTATCAGCCTCCACAAAATCATACTCGAAGGTACAAACGAAGCGAAGATCAATTACTGGGCCCGTTTATGCAATGCAATAGCGAAAGCCAATCTTGAGCTCAAAACTTTTAGACTGTCCTATATAAAGCAGAAGATACTGGGCCCCCCTGTACGCAACTGCGATGTCACCTTCCGAGGGTCAAGAAACAAGTTTGTGAAGGACTGGAGAGGGACCGCCTTTTCCCAGGCAATCAAAGACATTATCGAAGATATGGAGTCGTTATGGGACGATAGCGATAGTGAGGATGACGACGGTTCGTTGGCATCTTACCGGTTCATAACGTCCCCCTTCTTGCTGACCATTTTGAGATAGAATCCATGGAGGACGATGACGATGACGATATGATATAGCAGTGTGGCCGCTAAGTTGTTTGAGACGATAAACATGTCTACAATGACTTAGCATTGCGGTTTTATCAGTGTATAAGGCATAAGAGGGTGCGATCTGGGCTATTATGTGAGCTCTATTTGTATGAGTTAATGGCTGACGATTAATAAATTAACTATTGCTCACGCAAGCACTAATATGTATTTCAAGCTCAGAAAATATGTAACCTCAAACCATGCAACATACTAGGTAGCTTTTGATTTTATGGGATATCCTATGTTTCTTTCCGTGCATGATGCAGAGGGATATTGCATTGAGATGCAGCCCCTAGTACAAAGCGGCAGCGCAACTAGAACTAGACCCTTTTTTACCTTTCAACATTAAAAATACAAACAACGCGGGGTAGCTAGTGTGGTACCAGCCCAGTGGTAAGTGAGTAATACAAGTTTAGTGCTATAAGTTTTACCTTGATTCTAAAATAATAGGTTAAGTACCAAACAGATAACTTGACAAAAAGGGTTGGGGCTCAGCCGGGATTCGAACCCGGGGCCTCCTGCATTCCCATATTATATAGATGGAAGGGCGCGACCCGAAGCAGGAATCATACCACTAGACCACTGAGCCGTTCGATTTCGGCATCCCATATCATGCACCGAGAAACACGGTGTCCTGATTGACGGAATTCGCCGGGCTATCTTCCCTTACTTAATAGCATCCACCGGGATAACTACCTACCTACATGAGACAAGAAAAGGAAAATAAAGTGGAAGGAAAAGGTTTGCCGGTAATATGCATGCGATAGAATATAGAGAATGGGGCTTGGATTCGGATAGAAAAGTAAGAGGCGGCAATATGTGTATCACTCTCGTTGGCGCTTAGGTAGGAGAGAGACTGTCTGTCTTGTATTTTTATTCTAAGCCGGGGTTGGATCGTGTAGGAGGCAGTATATACTTAGTCCGGATAGATAGATAGGATAGGCAGAGATACTTCCATACGCTCGCTGTCCGGCTTACAGATACTTAATCCGTGGATATATTGAAACACGACGTCTTCGCTCGCCTAGCTAGTCAAGTATCTCGGTATCCATTTCGCTGGTTATATACGCCAGCCCTCGACGAAGTAGAGCGATATAGCTACATGGCTCTCTCTTTGCATGATTGAAGGATGGCATACGGCTTCCGGAGATATCTATTGTCTACTATCAGACAGTGTAGGGGGTGTATCGAGAGAATAGGAGAGACTCCGCTCAACACCCTCTCTTCGCATACTGTGAATATAATACTGGATAGACAGTAATACCGATAGCGTTTACACGTTATATATATATATATATATATATAAATTATAAGTTAAGGAGTTAGAAGAGGGCGAGGAAGTAACGAGAAATGACATGAACACTTGGGGAGAATCGGCGGGATATTCTTTTTTAACGCACACCAACCGGGACTGTCACATACTGGCAATAAGAAAGCACAAGTTGCGGACGTGTCACAGGAGATGTCTTGCTTGCATATGATGATGAAACGCGACTAGGAAGCAAGCACCCCTTCTCTCATACAAAGGTAGCATCTATCATCCATACGGAAGGAATGCCGAGGGATCATGCGATATACCGGCAACGGCCCGCACGGTCTGATGGCTGAGAAAGGACTGAGACCCTTCTAGGCCAAGAAGTTGACGGCGGCTCAGATACGTTGAGTGCTACAATCGAAACGTCGAAAAATTGGTTACCTATGACAGGTCCTTAGCCTGGCTGCCTGATGACGATCTCCTATGGAGCCACGATAGCCTCCGAGGTAAACACAATGTCATTTAACTATGACTCTGTCTACAGAGCGTACGTGCAACCTTATCTCAGAAATACAAGGCAGCTAAAGTTGACCGGAGATTATGCCACGAGCCGTGATGGGGACACGGCATCACAGGTAGGTGTACCGATCGCCAGCCTCCTTAGAGACGCCATTATAATTTCTTCTCGGCAATTCGCCTACGCCACTTGTCCCTGACCCTCCCGGCCCTCGATCCTGAGACGTGGGTAAAGTTTGCAAAAGCGAAAAATTGTAAAGGATATACTCGAAATACGGTCCAAGTACAGCGTCACGAGCGGAAATAAGAACGTTGCCTAAGTTGTAGAACGTGTGCAGTGGGTACGGCGTGCTTAAAACCTCAAGAATTATGCTCACAGGCTGTTCTCCGATCTCTAATGATTCTGGTGGCTTATTTGGTTCTCCCGAGTTTTCTTTTCTTTTCGATATTTTTTTAAACTAGTTACTCGCCTGTCTTAGAATACGCATAGCTTGATGATACCTCATCTAGGTCAATATTGTAAAGTCTAGTATGCAAGACATATGCTTTTGAAAATAGGGGTCTGGGTGAACGCCCTCTCCTATTTAGTTCATGGCGAACTCCGTGTCGATGATCGGCTTTGTTAATTATCGGTGTGCCGTTCTACAGCTACCTCCACCGTCAGCTGACGGGGGGTAACTGCACTGGTAGGTTACTTGCCTAAACGCCGGCAATGTAATGGCTTGGGTCAAATGTTTGTGTACGTAAGACAATTCGTGCAGTTACGGAACTTTCCAAGCTTCTCTACAGGTACGAATTAGATATTCTTAATTTAAGTTGCTATCAACACGGACACAGCGAGAGGGGTCGGTTCAACTTCCGCAGGGATCGGTCCGTGTGGGTCGATGAGACAACTATGACGGGTTTAATCAACGCACTAAATCTCTACAAACTTGATGTTTCTTTGAACAGCTATAGATCACCTCATACTCTAGATGTAGGCATGAAGGGCAACGCGGTGGACCTCTTGTACCCCGCAAAGCCACGCGGAAGGTGTAACATCGTAGTCACAGCCGTTACACCGGCACTCAATCCCGTTTCACCCATCCTTCTGGGGATAATCGGATTCAAGAACCCTTGAGGCCCGGATTACTGGATACCTAGCCGAAGATATCTTGACGGCGGTCGTTATCGTCGGGGTGTGTAGCTGGTAAGCCTTTCCAGCAAGCTATAGCTTTATCGACCATCGTAAAGAAACGACACCGGCAGATACAAAACACAGGTATAATTCTCGCAATTCCACTATGGTTTGAGAGATCTGATTAGATTATATGGCTGATAGTATAGGGCTGGCTTCGGTTATCTTCCCATCTCCTCCAAGCCCTTTAAGGCCCAAGTCAGGAGCGGTATGACAGGGGACTGAACCAGGTGTTTGTCAGCGGACGACGCAGGCTAGGTTACGTGATCGTCGATCTGGTCAATCAATCCCGCGAATGTGCCCCACACACCGACGGAGACTCGCTTGTCAGTGGACAATATGTAATCATATCTCATTGCGATGTCATATTCGTAATTGCCAGGGAGCCTGATATCATAAGCTTTTAAGTGGCTGTCCTACTTCCGCTTTACCACCGCAGCGGACAGCATCGTATGCTCAGTGACAGCGTATCGGACGGTTTGTTGTTGAGAAAATGCAGCGGCGGGGAAATGAATGGAAATAGACGGGGCAGCGACAATTGCGGTGAGAGGACCACGGGCTGCATTGACCATCAACGATTGCATGAGTTTGGTTATGATTCCGGTGGTTGCTGCGAGTCATCTCGAGAAAGCGGGGGATCGGCATCCCACCGCGTTATGTCGTCATTTCCAAAAACACCATTTGCCTTACATGCAAGTGCGGAGTACGTACCAGATAATTCAAGAGGTATCCGCACCGCTCGCATGTACACAAATAGATACTTCATGTAGGTATCGGCGAGTGTAGTAGGTAACATTGCAATCCTATGTGACTCTGACCAGTAATTCTGGCAATGACTGGTATTTGTAACGGAATACATACATGTACTACCACTTATCATTATGGTTTATGTGCCACGTTATATTTGGGCTGCTCAACGGCTGACTCCAGTTATACATGTACCCAGTACTTGAAGCGAAGTACATGTATCCCCCCACCTTGGATGTATCTAAACTACATGCCGTGCCCCTTTCAATGTTGTCCTGATAGTGCATGTAGCCTGTACATGTAGGTAATTAGGTACTTGTACTGACTACAATATGTAAGTGCGTACCTAAACATGCCAGCCCATGATGGCCAAGTACATGATGCTGTTTGTAAGATGCCCAATGCCACTCAAGGCCGTTGATATGAGATGAGTACTTAGTAGCCTTGTAATGTAGACAATACTTTCGGGGTAGCTAATGGTTTCTCGAGGCTTAAGCACATGGCTGGAACAGCCAGATATGTAGATACGGCTGAAAATCAACCATTGGCCCGCCGCGCCTCTAGCCGCTCTTTGTAGGCCATCCCACGCTCAGAACCGAAGCATGTGTGCGTATACCTACAAGGTACACGCATGTGGGCAAGTACATGCGATATAGATACTATGTAGGCAGGTGGTTAGAAGTACACTGCATGTACCTGCCTTCCTCTGGGCCCAGGACCCATACCATCAATAGGACCTGATGAAGCTCTAAGGTGACCTGCCCCTCACTTTGGCTGTGGTTTGTGACATGGAAACAATGGCCCAGTGGATTACAAGACGCTAAACATCCCACCTGCGTTAGGGATTAGGTACCTCTTATTTGCCAGGCACTTGACATACATGCATATTTAGGTATCTCGTATTCCCCAGTCCTTCTAGAAACTTCATCTTCATTCACATTCTTCACCTTCACCTTCGCTCATCTCCTCCTCGTCTACACATCAGTTCGAGAGCACTCCGGCAAAGCTCGATTCTCCTGCTTCACCTTCATCCCCAACTTTATTATCGTCGTCATCTCATTCTCCACAATGGGTGTAACCAAGACTACTCACCAGGCGGGCAATGGTGCCCAGCCCACTCCCGGCCAAACCGTCACCATCGAGTACACTGGCTGGCTCAAGGACACTAGCAAGCCCGAGAACAAGGGAGACAAGTGAGTAAAACCTATTGTTGAAGATGAAAAAGAAACAGAAAGAAGACGACGTCTCCGACCCGGGGATACTCCGCCATAGACCCATCCCAGCACTACCCCTCCATGTACATGCATGTTCGTCTCGAGGCTGCCAACATGTAGAATAACCTCTCATCTATAACCATAGATTCGACTCGTCCGTAGGTCGCGGCGACTTTGTCACGCGGATTGGCGTTGGCCAGGTCATCAAGGGTAAGAATCGTGACAGCAATATTTTGACAGGCCGTAACTAAGATATTGGATGGCTAGGCTGGGACGAGGGTGTTACCCAGATGCTGGTTGGTGAGAAGGCCACCTTGGACATTACGAGGTATGAATTCCCAAAGGAGTCTCTGTCAAATGTATCAACAACTGACATGACTATTTTCTAGCGACTACGGCTATGGTGCTCGGTATGTTAAACCCAATTCCCACCCCGCCCCCCAGCTTGCTCGTTGGCCATGTCATTCATGACCTGCCCGACCTGCCATTCACGCTCTTCTATATCACGTTTCGATGTAGCTCAAATATCTGCCATTCGAAGCGGTTGTCTGATCATCTCAAAACAGCGGATTTACTGGCCATATCCCTCCCAATGCCGACTTGATCTTGTAAGTTGTTCCCCAGCACCTAGACCATCGAACATGTTGAATGGATATGAATCTAACCCTGTTTCTCAGCGA